GTCCATGAAATGATAAAGCCTGGGTGATTTTAAGGAGTCGTGAGTGTGGCGCGCCGGAGTCGTCGTCCTCGTCTCAGGAGAACGCTTCTGTTTGTTTGTTTGTATGATCTAATAAAGTGACTGTATTATAAGCTGATGTACAGTTCTAAGTGTACTTGGACAAATACCAATAAACTGAACAAAAGATGAACGTGTGTGTGTGTGTGTTTGAACAGGTTTACAGTCCCATCATGCACTTCCACACGTTTCGCACGTCCGCATGCTTCCACGTTAATCATTGATCGATCTTCATTAATGATGGAAATATTTGTTCATAATTGTCCTGGTGTTTAATCTTATCAGAGCGCATGAACTCTCCCCGCAGTGATGATGCGTTAGCCTCGATCTGCCCCGAGCGCCTCTTTATTACGGAGAACTACACACACACACACACTCACCACACACACTCACCACACACACTCACCACACACACACACCACACACACTCACCACACACACTCACCACACACACTCACCACACACACACACACACACACACTCACCACACACACTCACCACACACACTCACACCACACACACACACACACACACACTCACCACACACACTCACCACACACACTCACCACACACACACACCACACACACTCACCACACACACTCACCACACACACACACACACACACACACTCACCACACACACCACACACACACCACACACTCACATTCCTCACACACACTCTCCTCACACACACACACTCACACACACTCTCCTCACACACACACTCTCCACTCACACTCTCACACACACACACACACTCTCCACTCACCACACACACTCACCACACACACACACACACACTCACCACACACACACTCACCACACACACACACACACTCACCACACACACACACACTCACCACACACACACACACTCACCACACACACTCACCACACACACACACACTCACCACACACACACTCACCACACACACACACACTCACCACACACACACTCACCACACACACACACACTCACCACACACACACTCACCACACACACACTCACCACACACACTCACCACACACACACACACACACACTCACCACACACACACCACACACACACCACACACTCACATTCCTCACACACACTCTCCTCACACACACACACTCACACACTCTCCTCACACACACACTCACCTCACACACACACTCACACACACTCTCCTCACACACACACTCTCCACTCACACTCTCACACACACACACACACACACACACACACACACACACACACACACACACACTCTCCACTCACCACACACACTCACATTCCACACACACTCACACACACTCTCCTCACACACACACTCTCCACTCACACTCTCACTCACACACACACACACACTCTCCACTCACACACACACACTCTCCACTCACACACACACACTCACATTCCACACACACACCACACACTCACACACACACACACTCTCCACTCACACACACACACACTCTCCACTCACACACACACACTCACATTCCACACACACACCACACACTCACACACATACACACTCTCCACTCACACACACTCACACTCTCACACACACACACTCTCCACTCACACACACACACTCTCCACTCACACACACACCACACACTCACACACACACACACTCTCCACTCACACACACACACTCTCCACTCACACACACTCACACTCTCACACACACACACTCTCCACTCACACACACACACTCTCCACTCACACACACACCACACACTCACACACACACACACTCTCCACTCACACACACACACTCTCCACTCACACACACACCACACACTCACACACACACACACACACTCTCCACTCACACACACACACTCTCCACTCACACACACACCACACACTCACACACACACACACTCTCCACTCACACACACACACTCTCCACTCACACACACACCACACACTCACACACACACACACTCTCCACTCACACACACACACTCTCCACTCACACACACACACACTCTCCACTCACCACACACACACTCACATTCCACACACACACCACACACTCACACACACTCTCCTCACACACACACACTCTCCTCACACACACACACTCTCCTCACACACACACACTCTCCACTCACACACACACACACACACACACTCTCCACTCACCACACACACACTCACATTCCACACACACACCACACACTCACACACACTCTCCTCACACACACACACACACTCTCCTCACACACACACACTCTCTCCTCACACACACACACACTCCACTCACACACACACACTCACCACTCACACACACACACACTCTCCACTCACCACACACACACTCACATTCCACACACACACCACACACTCACACACACTCTCCTCACACACACACTCTCCACTCACACTCTCACACACACACACACACTCTCCACTCACACACACACACTCTCCACTCACACACACACACACACACTCTCCACTCACCACACACACACTCACATTCCACACACACACCACACACTCACACACACTCTCCTCACACACACACTCTCCACTCACACACACTCTCCACTCACACACACACACACACTCTCCACTCACCACACACACACTCACATTCCACACACACACCACACACTCACACACACTCTCCTCACACACACACACACACTCTCCTCACACACACACACTCTCCACTCACACACACACACACACACACACACACTCTCCACTCACACACACACACACACACACTCTCCACTCACACACACACTCCTCATATGTGCAAACACACACCACACACTCACACACATACACACTCTCCACTCACACACACACACTCTCCACTCACACACACACCACACACTCACACACACACACACTCTCCACTCACACACACACACTCTCCACTCACACACACTCACACTCTCACACACACACACTCTCCACTCACACACACACACTCTCCACTCATTGCTTTACTGAGCACCAGCCAATCAGGGCTCTAGAATAGGCTCTAGCAGGTCAAAGGTCGAGTTGTGGGCGTGGCCTGTAATGCTGGATTCTCCACACGCTGACAGTCAATAAACAGTTCTCGCTTTCAATCTTGATTTCGTCTTTACTGTGAATTCTTCAACATCTCTGCAGTTACTTTCAAGTTTTGAAGAAAAAGAGGCAGTTTTTAAAATGTGTGTAAACAGTATAAAACTGTCATGGTAATATTTAACGTGTTTCATTGGCCATATGATCATCGTTATGAAATTTGAAGCGTTTTAGTTGATGTTCGTCTCACATTTTTAAGTGTTTCTTGTGTCAGACGTTCAGAGAATATTCAAATGTAACGGTCCAGAATGCTTGAAGAACGATACAATGTAACGGTCCTTTAACTTTGAAAACTTTTTTTTTAAATGGACGTTGTGATTATTCTGAGAACATTCAGAAATAACATATTTGAATGTGACCGTTCTCGAACACACACTGTCAGATTACACACACACACACTGTCAGATTACACACACACACACTGTCAGATTACACACACACACACTGTCAGATTACACACACACACACTGTCAGATTACACACACACACACTGTCAGATTACACACACACACACTGTCAGATTACACACACACACACTGTCAGATTACACACACACACACTGTCAGATTACACACACACACACTGTCAGATTACACACACACACACTGTCAGATTACACACACACACACTGTCAGATTACACACACACACACTGTAAGATTACACACACACACACTGTCAGATTACACACACACACACACACACACACACACTGTCAGATTACACACACACACACTGTAAGATTACACACACACACACACACACTGTCAGATCACACACACACACACACACACACTGTCAGATTACACACACACACACACACACACTGTCAGATTACACACACACACACTGTCAGATTACACACACACACACACTGTCAGATTACACACACACACACTGTCAGATTACACACACACACACTGTCAGATTACACACACACACACTGTCAGATTACACACACACACACACTGTCAGATTACACACACACACACTGTCAGATTACACACACACACACTGTCAGATTACACACACACACACACACTGTCAGATTACACACACACACACTGTCAGATTACACACACACACACTGTCAGATTACACACACACACACTGTAAGATTACACACACACACACACACACTGTCAGATCACACACACACACACACACACACTGTCAGATTACACACACACACACACACACACTGTCAGATTACACACACACACACTGTCAGATTACACACACACACACACTGTCAGATTACACACACACACACTGTCAGATTACACACACACACACTGTCAGATTACACACACACACACTGTCAGATTACACACACACACACACTGTCAGATTACACACACACACACACACTGTCAGATTACACACACACACACTGTCAGATTACACACACACACACTGTCAGATTACACACACACACACACACTGTCAGATTACACACACACACACACACTGTCAGATTACACACACACACACTGTCAGATTACACACACACACACTGTCAGATTACACACACACACACACACTGTCAGATTACACACACACACACACTGTCAGATTACACACACACACACACACTGTCAGATTACACACACACACACACTGTCAGATTACACACACACACTGGGATGATTCCACCTCGGGAATCTTCATAAACTCTTATCATTATTATTGATGAATAGGGTGGAATTTTCTGTATCTCTGCAGGCTAAAGTGAGTCATAAAGCTGAGATGATTGACAGGCGTGTAATCTGCTGTTATGGCGTGACGGTGAGGTGTGTGTGTAAGAGAGAGAGTGTGTGTATAAGAGAGAGTGTGAACGCTCTTCGTCTTCATCTTCTTCATCATGAGGGCTTTGATCCTGCTGGTGTCCTGCAGCTTCATCAGCGCTCAGCCTCGGCCCTGCGGTGAGTATACCTCTCTCTCTCTCTCTCTCTCTCTCTCTCTCTCTCTCTCTCTCTCTCTCTCTCTGTCTCTCTGTCTGTCTCTCTCTCTCTCTCCCTCTCTCTCTCTCTCTCTCTCTCTCTCTCTCTCTCTCTCTCTCTCTCTCTCTAACAGAGTTCTGTTCTCTCTCTCTCCCTCTCTCTCTCTCTCTCTCTCTCTCTCTCTCTCTCTCTCTCTCTCTCTCTCTCTCTCTCTAACAGAGTTCTGTATTGAGCTTTATTGGCATGACTGTAAAATAGCACAATATTGCCAAAGCAGTAGTAATATATAAACATATATGTAGATACATAAAAGTGAACAATAAAAAAACATTTCCATATTATGCATAAATATATCTCAATAAATAAAATAACAAAAATATATACAATAACAAAAAAAAAAGTACAGAGAGCAGTTTAATGGAGCAGAGGGTTCAGCCCTTCTCCCTCATATGATGGCAGGAGGACACATACTGCGCTGCCAGCTGAATACACTCTTCTTTCTCTCCCAATATATAAGACAGTTTGTTTATAAGGCTCTCTTGTTGGAATTGAGGTATAATCTGTGCTATTTGTGTGAAATAAGCGTCCCTGATGTTTTTGTACTTGCTGCACTCGGTGAGGAAGTGCAGCTCGTCCTCTACGGCCCCGTCAGGGCAGTGTGAACATAGTCTGAGCTCTCTCTCTCTCCAGCTCTGCTGGTGTCGGCCCGTCTCCACACACAGACTGTGGTCGCTAATGCGATACTTAGTCAGGAGCTTTCTCTGGCCATAGTTACTGATATCAGTCAGGTATGGTGCCAATTTATAATCTGACTTTATTTTGTGGAAATATTTTAATTTATTTAGTTGCGTGACCTTTATCTGCCAATCGTGTATGTATTCTTCTTTGGTTATTTTCCCTATTTCTTTTACTTTTGAGTGTCTAAATTGTCTCTCTCTCTCTCTCTCTCTCTCTCTCTCTCTCTCTCTCTCTCTCTCTCTCTCTAACAGAGTTCTGTTCTCTCTCTCTCCAGAGTCTCCGGCTCAGTATGTGGGCAGCCTGTCTATGGTGAGTCTCTCTCTCTCTCTCTCTCTCTCTCTGAATTACAAAGTCTTAATCATGAGATTAAAAGTCGAATTTATGAGATAGTCAACTTTGTCATAGTTATGACTTTAATCATTTGACTTGTCATGACTTGTCTTAATTTTTTTTACTTTTTGTCAATTTTGACTTTTTGTTTTACTTTTTATGTAATTTCCACTGTAAATGTCATATTTTTGACCTTTTAATGCTGTATGGTAAATATTTGGTTTTAGTTTTTTACGTTATAATTCAAGACTTTTTATGTTGTAATTTTAACTTACTGTAGTATGTCATAATTATGGCTTTTTAATGTCATAACGACTTTGAACCTTTTTTCATAATTTACTTTTTGTCATAATTTTGACCCTTTATGTTGTTATTATTTTAACTTTCTATGTCATATTTCACCTTTTAATGTCACAATGACTTTTTATATAATCATTTTGATTCAGTATATCATAATTTTGACTTTTTAATGTCATAACATTTCAAGTCAATTTAAATTTTATTGAATAATTCTTAGGTCATAATTTGTCATAATTTGAACTTAGTATGTCAGAATTTTGGCTTATGTCATATTCTTGACTTTTTTAGTCAGAATTCTGAATTATGTTATGTCATAATTTTGATTTGTCATAAACTTGACTTTTTCAGTCATAATTTTGACCTTTTGATTTGTCATATTCTTGATTTTTTTAGTCGTAATTTAGATTTTTTTCATATTCTAGACTTTTTCAGTCCTAACTTTGATTTGTCATATTGGTGATGGTCTTAGTCATAACTTTGATTTGTCATATTGGTGATGGTCTCAGTCATAACTTTGCTGATGCTGTTGTTGGTCCTCCAGACGGCCGCTGATGGGATCATAACCTCGGCCGCCACATACTCGTATGATGCTCGCGCTCAGCAGATCCGCTTCAGGAACCACATGACCATCTATAACGAGACCATCCCGATGGACCTGCTCATGCACTTCAGACAGGTGAGTGAAGCTAACACACACACACACACACACACTCCACAGATGAAGATGCCGATGGAGAAGCTTTAGTGCAGAAGCTCCCTCATCATGAGCTCGACTGGTTCTTCACGTGTGGAGTAGTTCTGGTGTCTGAGTGTTTATCCCTGATCCACAGGGCATCCTGTATGAGATCGATTACTCGCGCCTGCACTGCGAGAAGAAGGTTCTGGAGACCCGGTTCCACCCGACGCGGGTCCCGGCCGACGCCTCGTTCATGGGTCAGGTGATCCTGGGAACTGGCTCTGTTCCGGGTCTGGGTCTGCTGACCAACTCCTGGGTCGGGGAGATTCCTGAGATCCAGGGTGAGTCCAGTCGTCTGTCCTGTAGTGAATCATCTGTCCTGTAGTGAATCATCTGTCCTGTAGTGAATCATCTGTCCTGTAGTGAATCATCTGTCCTGTAGTGAATCATCTGTCCTGTAGTGAATCATCTGTCCTGTAGTGAATCATCTGTCCTGTAGTGAATCATCTGGCCTGTAGTGAATCGTCTGTCCTGTAGTGAATCGTCTGTCCTGTAGTGAATCATCTGTCCTGTAGTGAATCATCTGTCCTGTAGTGAATCATCTGGCCTGTCGTGAATCATCTGTCCTGTAGTGAATCGTCTGTCCTGTAGTGAATCATCTGTCCTGTAGTGAATCGTCTGTCCTGTAGTGAATCATCTGTCCTGTAGTGAATCATCTGTCCTGTAGTGAATCGTCTGTCCTGTAGTGAATCATCTGTCCTGTAGTGAATCATCTGGCCTGTCGTGAATCATCTGTCCTGTAGTGAATCATCTGTCCTGTAGTGAATCATCTGTCCTGTAGTGAATCATCTGTCCTGTAGTGAATCATCTGTCCTGTAGTGAATCATCTGGCCTGTAGTGAATCGTCTGTCCTGTAGTGAATCGTCTGTCCTGTAGTGAATCATCTGTCCTGTAGTGAATCATCTGTCCTGTAGTGAATCATCTGGCCTGTCGTGAATCATCTGTCCTGTAGTGAATCGTCTGTCCTGTAGTGAATCATCTGTCCTGTAGTGAATCGTCTGTCCTGTAGTGAATCATCTGTCCTGTAGTGAATCATCTGTCCTGTAGTGAATCGTCTGTCCTGTAGTGAATCATCTGTCCTGTAGTGAATCATCTGGCCTGTCGTGAATCATCTGTCCTGTAGTGAATCATCTGTCCTGTAGTGAATCATCTGTCCTGTAGTGAATCATCTGTCCTGTAGTGAATCATCTGTCCTGTAGTGAATCATCTGTCCTGTAGTGAATCATCTGTCCTGTAGTGAATCGTCTGTAGTGAATCGTCTGTCCTGTAGTGAATAATCTGTCCTGTAGTGAATCATCTGTCCTGTAGTGAATCATCTGTCCTGTAGTGAATCATCTGTCCTGTAGTGAATCATCTGTCCTGTAGTGAATCATCTGTCCTGTAGTGAATCATCTGTCCTGTAGTGAATCATCTGGCCTGTCGTGAATCATCTGTCCTGTAGTGAATCGTCTGTCCTGTAGTGAATCATCTGTCCTGTAGTGAATCGTCTGTAGTGAATCGTCTGTCCTGTAGTGAATAATCTGTCCTGTAGTGAATCATCTGTCCTGTAGTGAATCATCTGTCCTGTAGTGAATCATCTGTCCTGTAGTGAATCATCTGTCCTGTAGTGAATCATCTGGCCTGTAGTGAATCGTCTGTCCTGTAGTGAATCGTCTGTCCTGTAGTGAATCATCTGTCCTGTAGTGAATCATCTGTCCTGTAGTGAATCATCTGGCCTGTCGTGAATCATCTGTCCTGTAGTGAATCGTCTGTCCTGTAGTGAATCATCTGTCCTGTAGTGAATCGTCTGTCCTGTAGTGAATCATCTGTCCTGTAGTGAATCATCTGTCCTGTAGTGAATCGTCTGTCCTGTAGTGAATCATCTGTCCTGTAGTGAATCATCTGGCCTGTCGTGAATCATCTGTCCTGTAGTGAATCATCTGTCCTGTAGTGAATCATCTGTCCTGTAGTGAATCATCTGTCCTGTAGTGAATCATCTGGCCTGTAGTGAATCGTCTGTCCTGTAGTGAATCGTCTGTCCTGTAGTGAATCATCTGTCCTGTAGTGAATCATCTGTCCTGTAGTGAATCATCTGGCCTGTCGTGAATCATCTGTCCTGTAGTGAATCGTCTGTCCTGTAGTGAATCATCTGTCCTGTAGTGAATCGTCTGTCCTGTAGTGAATCATCTGTCCTGTAGTGAATCATCTGTCCTGTAGTGAATCGTCTGTCCTGTAGTGAATCATCTGTCCTGTAGTGAATCATCTGGCCTGTCGTGAATCATCTGTCCTGTAGTGAATCGTCTGTCCTGTAGTGAATCATCTGTCCTGTAGTGAATCATCTGTCCTGTAGTGAATCATCTGTCCTGTAGTGAATCATCTGTCCTGTAGTGAATCATCTGGCCTGTAGTGAATCGTCTGTCCTGTAGTGAATCGTCTGTCCTGTAGTGAATCAGCTGTCCTGTAGTGAATCGTCTGTCCTGTAGTGAATAATCTGTCCTGTAGTGAATCATCTGTCCTGTAGTGAATCATCTGTCCTGTAGTGAATCATCTGGCCTGTCGTGAATCATCTGTCCTGTAGTGAATCGTCTGTCCTGTAGTGAATCATCTGTCCTGTAGTGAATCGTCTGTCCTGTAGTGAATCATCTGTCCTGTAGTGAATCATCTGTCCTGTAGTGAATCATCTGTCCTGTAGTGAATCATCTGTCCTGTAGTGAATCATCTGGCCTGTAGTGAATCGTCTGTCCTGTAGTGAATCGTCTGTCCTGTAGTGAATCAGCTGTCCTGTAGTGAATCGTCTGTCCTGTAGTGAATAATCTGTCCTGTAGTGAATCATCTGGCCTGTCGTGAATCATCTGTCCTGTAGTGAATCGTCTGTCCTGTAGTGAATCATCTGTCCTGTAGTGAATCGTCTGTCCTGTAGTGAATCATCTGTCCTGTAGTGAATCGTTGTAGTGAATCGTCTGTCCTGTAGTGAATCGTCTGTCATGTAGTGAATCATCTGTCCTGTAGTGAATCATCTGTCCTGTAGTGAATCATCTGTCCTGTAGTGAATCGTCTGTCCTGTAGTGAATCGTCTGTCCTGTAGTGAATCATCTGTCCTGTAGTGAATCATCTGTCCTGTAGTGAATCATCTGTCCTGTAGTGAATCATCTGTCCTGTAGTGAATTATCTGTCCTGTAGTGAATCAGCTGTCCTGTAGTGAATCGTCTGTCCTGTAGTGAATCGTCTGTCCTGTAGTGAATTATCTGTCCTGTAGTGAATCATCTGTCCTGTAGTGAATTATCTGTCCTGTAGTGAATCGTCTGTCCTGTAGTGAATTGTCTGTCCTGTAGTGAATCAGCTGTCCTGTAGTGAATCGTCTGTCCTGTAGTGAATCGTCTGTCCTGTAGTGAATCGTCTGTCCTGTAGTGAATCATCTGTCCTGTAGTGAATCATCTGTCCTGTAGTGAATCATCTGTCCTGTAGTGAATCATCTGTCCTGTAGTGAATCATCTGTCCTGTAGTGAATTATCTGTCCTGTAGTGAATCAGCTGTCCTGTAGTGAATCGTCTGTCCTGTAGTGAATTATCTGTCCTGTAGTGAATCAGCTGTCCTGTAGTGAATTATCTGTCCTGTAGTGAATCGTCTGTCCTGTAGTGAATCGTCTGTCCTGTAGTGAATCAGCTGTCCTGTAGTGAATCATCTGTCCTGTAGTGAATCGTCTGTCCTGTAGTGAATCAGCTGTCCTGTAGTGAATCGTCTGTCCTGTAGTGAATCGTCTGTCCTGTAGTGAATCAGCTGTCCTGTAGTGAATCGTCTGTCCTGTAGTGAATCAGCTGTCCTGTAGTGAATCGTCTGTCCTGTAGTGAATCGTCTGTCCTGTAGTGAATCAGCTGTCCTGTAGTGAATCGTCTGTCCTGTAGTGAATCAGCTGTCCTGTAGTGAATCATCTGTCCTGTAGTGAATCATCTGTCCTGTAGTGAATCATCTGTCCTGTAGTGAGTCGTCTGTCCTGTAGTGAATCGTCTGTCCTGTAGTGAATCATCTGTCCTGTAGTGAGTCGTCTGTCCTGTAGTGAATCGTCTGTCCTGTAGTGAATCGTCTGTCCTGTAGTGAATCGTCTGTCCTGTAGTGAATTGTCTGTCCTGTAGTGAATCGTCTGTCCTGTAGTGAATCAGCTGTCCTGTAGTGAATCATCTGTCCTGTAGTGAGTCGTCTGTCCTGTAGTGAATCGTCTGTCCTGTAGTGAATCGTCTGTCCTGTAGTGAATCATCTGTCCTGTAGTGAATTGTCTGTCCTGTAGTGAATCGTCTGTCCTGTAGTGAATCGTCTGTCTTGTAGTGAATTATCTGTCCTGTAGTGAATCAGCTGTCCTGTAGTGAATTATCTGTCCTGTAGTGAATCAGCTGTCCTGTAGTGAATCATCTGTCCTGTAGTGAATCATCTGTCCTGTAGTGAATCATCTGTCCTGTAGTGAATCGTTGTAGTGAATCGTCTGTCCTGTAGTGAATCGTCTGTCCTGTAGTGAATCGTTGTAGTGAATCGTCTGTCCTGTAGTGAATCGTCTGTCCTGTAGTGAATCGTCTGTCCTGTAGTGAATCATCTGTCCTGTAGTGAATCGTCTGTCCTGTAGTGAATCATCTGTCCTGTAGTGAATCGTCTGTCCTGTAGTGAATCATCTGTCCTGTAGTGAATAATCTGTCCTGTAGTGAATCATCTGTCCTGTAGTGAATCATCTGTCCTGTAGTGAATCATCTGTCCTGTAGTGAATCGTCTGTCCTGTAGTGAATCGTCTGTCCTGTAGTGAATCGTCTGTCCTGTAGTGAATCGTCTGTCCTGTAGTGAATCGTCTGTCCTGTAGTGAATCGTCTGTCCTGTAGTGAATCGTCTGTCCTGTAGTGAATCGTCTGTCCTGTAGTGAATCGTCTGTCCTGTAGTGAATCATCTGTCCTGTAGTGAATCAGCTGTCCTGTAGTGAATCGTCTGTCCTGTAGTGAATCAGCTGTCCTGTAGTGAATCAGCTGTCCTGTAGTGAATCATCTGTCCTGTAGTGAATCATCTGTCCTGTAGTGAATCGTCTGTCCTGTAGTGAATCAGCTGTCCTGTAGTGAATCATCTGTCCTGTAGTGAATCGTCTGTCCTGTAGTGAATTATCTGTCCTGTAGTGAATCGTCTGTCCTGTAGTGAATCGTCTGTCCTGTAGTGAATCGTCTGTCCTGTAGTGAATCATCTGTCCTGTAGTGAATCATCTGTCCTGTAGTGAATCGTCTGTCCTGTAGTGAATCGTCTGTCCTGTAGTGAATCGTCTGTCATGTAGTGAATC